CATGCTTCGGTCCTCTACGGAGGATCGAACCCATGACTGCTAGTGGCTTGTGCCAACTAGTCCGCAGCTTATGCAACTGCGCCATGGAGGACGGTAGCTGTCACAGAGGCGAAACAGCTGACTACGATGGTGCACACGAGCGGGGCGAGATCGGCCAGATCACGTGAGCGGCTGACAGACTGGTTGTCATGGTCAACCCGGAAGCTGACGAAATCAGACCGTCATCGCCGCACGGGTTGCTATGTCGCGGACGTGGTCCTACCTACAGTCAGACGGTGATGGCGGCTGCCAGTCGAATCTGTTCAGACAACAGATGTGAGTCACCTCAGCGGGGTAAGCGCATGTGACCTATAAAAGTAGCCATGTTCTGTTCCTAATATACTTCGGTCTAGCAGGCTCTGCGTTTTGTTTTCCCCGGCTGGTTGGTAGCACAGAGAGACAGAGGCGAAGGGCAGCGTTACAACAGTAGCCGACCATAACGCCGGAAGGCCAACCGCTGTCATCTGCATGGCAGTGGAGGATGGGTTGGTCTATATCGCAGTTAGCTAACAATTCGTGATGGTCGGCTACCGTCCTCCATGGCGCAGTTGCATAAGCTGCGGATTAGTTGGCACAAGCCACTAGCAGTCATGGGTTCGATCCTCCGTAGAGGACCGAAAGATGCGCACCACTGACGAGCCCCAATAGGGCGAACCGGCCGTCTGGTGCTTTTCCGGATAGGTAGTTGACTTATCTGAATTGTCGGCTGATTGCGACGAACCAAAATAAACAGCGTTTTGTACTACTTCATGAATCAACCTTAGCTGATGTCAAACGGGCTGCACGTAAACGGCTGTTCACCGGAATCCAATCAACCAACGATGGCTCAGCCTTGGAGCTTAGAATGATACCTACACCAGCTTGACCCGTGAATGCTGCATCGGCGTCTCCGGATGCGTGCAACCAATAACGGGAGGACCAGCCAGGTGTAGTTAATTCAACAACCCCGTTCGGGTCATTGATCCTAGTTTCGGACACACAACACGCACCAATACCCAGTGTGTCCAATGCGCGTGCGGTTGCAGCCTGTTGACCTGTTTGCCTTAGAGTGCGAACGTTGAATGACGCCATGGAAACGGGATAACGTGGGGTTATAAGGGACTGTTGTCGATAGGAGTTGTGGGATGGTGGCTGCAGATGGTTCTACTCCAGTGGCACTTCGGTTGCTGTCAATTAAGCTGGGAATTATAGAAGGAAGGTTATTAATGGGGGTCGGGATGGGAGTAAGCGTAACAGGTGGAAAAGAAAGAAGGGGGCGCCAGCAGTAGCATGTTTTCGCTTGTCTGCCCTGCTTTAAACAACAGATAAGGCGACGCTTGATAATCTGCGCGACGGCCAATGCAGGATGAAGTTTATGTTGGAAGAAAATGTCATGGTTGTATGTGGGCTGAGATACTGCCAGGGCGCCCAGACCTGGACAGGAGGACGATTAGGGTCCTCCTCCAAAGCCTTTGGCTCAAAAGCCTGTCCGCAAGGCAGCGGGGAGGTGGCAATGATTTAGTTTTGCAGAAATGGATGCCATCCCATTTCAAACCCCAACTTGGAGGACCAGGAGACTGCGTTTGTCTGACCTCTCACCATTGACCAATCTGGTAGAAGTAGCTCTCAAGGTGCCCGGAGGCACCACCCAGTATAGCTCAATGGATCAATGAGGTACGCAAACCGTCGCAACACATTAATGCCCAGTCTCCTTGCTACGGATTCGGTTGGTAAGCACAGTGATACATCGACAGCGTGTTCTAGGATCGCTGTGAAAAGTGGCAATCACCGACAGTGATTCTGCGTCATACTTCCTGAAGTTCTTCCTTTCATTAAGACTGATTCACGTTTCTTGGCCGGGACTGATGGCGAAAGTCTTTCTTTTGGCCGCGTTTATGGCACTTATCACAAATGTGACGCTTGAATGGATAGTACCGTGCGAAATACCACTCATCACTTGACCAACAAGGTGTAGGCGGCTTGTTCGAGCCATCCTTTCTTGCTTTTTGCACATGAGACTGGCTTTCCGAACAACCTCCTCGTGGTGCCAGCTGGGTGGTTCGGGATTTTCCCGTTCCAGCAAATGGTTCGGCGGCAGTGTTCCAGGACGTGGTGGGTTTTCGCCTGGCACGCGTTCTCCCTATAAAAAGCCACATATGTCCGTTTAACAACACTGTGACGTGGCGGACGTGACTCGCCACTAAATAAAGTCACTGCCCCTTGCTTCATCCTGGCGAAGCATTGTATTCCAGCTAGTTGATGCTGTAATTTCGGGGAGCATTGGGCCCCTGTTTGGCAAAGGAACAAACGAAAGGCGTATGAACTGATCAATCAGTCACCGGCTCCCAATGGGCGCGATTCCCTGAATTCGCTCCGCTGCCTTGCGGACAGGCTATTCAGCCAAAGGCTCGGGGTGTTTTCCCCTAAGTCAACACCCTACTTCGGCTTGGGCAACCGGGTAGTATTTCGCCCTCTGACGAAACCGTGGACATTGTTGTGTTGTGTTGTGTTTTCTTTTACTATTTCTGTACCTTGTTTTGAGTTCCATGGTTTCCGATGGTGCAATATCTATTCATAGACTGTTACAAATAATACATATATATATATATATATTATTTCTCATTATTATTATATTATTATATATTATATATATATATATATATTATTATTATTATCATATATTATTTTGCACATGAGCAATATCGGCGATGATGGGGCATCTCTGCTCAATCATAGCGGTGTCGTGTTTCACAGTGATCAACCGTTTGCGTTCGCCTACAAGTGACTTCGATGTCAAATCTGGATCTTGATCCAAGTTAGGAAGGAGTTGAATGCGGATTTCCGCGTCGCGTGGAAACTGTAAAGCACTGGCAAATGTGAGACGCTTAAACTGGTCATCCGTCAAACAGTGTAACTTGAAACGTTCACATTCACGGTTAACCATGTCTATTAGTTCCCCATAATCGTCCGTATCCCGCTTAACAGTTTTTAAACATTGGTAGCGAATGCTAAACAAAAAGGTTGACTCGCCAAAAATTTCGTTGAGTATTGCCACTGCTTCGTTGAAAGTGATGTCCTTCGGCTCTTTGGGCAGGATGTGGTCGACGAATCTTGAATGTTCATTAGTACCGAGCTTGCGGAGCAAAAGACGCACTTTCCATGAATCATCTTGACAGCTGAAATCCGTCCGGAATATGTTCTCCCAGCGTTTGAACCACACCTCGAAAGTGCATTCGGAATCAGCATCATAATGAAATTCAGTGATTGCATTCGTAAGAATACCGAGTGGAACAGTCTGCATGTCTCGTGTAGCGCCTCCGTTGGACTGTACGTTTAAGTACTGCGTCACTTTCATTCAGTTTCCTTTATGCTTCCATCTTGGATTTTTGCTGTAGAAGCAGCTTTTGAAAATGTTCGGCGGAAAAATTTGTAACATTTTCAGGCTTGTCCGTCGCCATTGTTGGATCTTCACTTCTTCTCGCTATTCCGAAGTAAACACTCAGACATTTCTCCGCATAAGTTCTAGCCCGGAGGAACAAAAATCAAAAGTCCGACGATCTTGACCGCGAAAATCTTGTTGACAAAAGCGCCGCCAAAACGCTGTACAACTACGCCAGACCTACGCCAAATATATATGGTGCTCAATGACCTTCGGCTTCTAGAAACCGAAGGTCAACTGGTAACATTAGCAGCCTCCTTGCCAAAACTCCGTATGCTGGCGATCACGTGAAGGAATGGCTGGTTCCGGAATCTTCGAAATCATTGGACGATCAAAGATAATCGATTAATTGCTACAATAATGGGTTTTCCTTTATGTTTATCTTTTCCCGGATAGAACGCTTGCCAAGCGAAAACCTACCACGTCCTGGAACACTGTCGCCGCACCATTGGCTGGAACAGGATAATCCCGAACCACCCAGCTGACAACGTGAGGAGGTTGTTCGGCAAGCCAGCAGTCGTGTGCTTTCTGGACATGCTGCTTTTGACTCAGTTAACACTGCTGTTCTCTAGTTGCTTACTAACATAAAGAGTATCTGAGAAATTTGTAATCATTCAACAATCTGCTCTTCTATCTCAGAATGCGTGAGGTCAGTTCATAGTGAAGACGTTAAACATTTGGCCATGTTTGATAACCAGTACTTGCGGAGCACTGCTCATGTCTGGTGGGAACACCGGGTGAGCTATGCTGAAGTCCATCAGTTGGTTTTTCGCAAGAAGCCTTCTGGTGCCTCATTCAAGTGTTTGCTTAAGCCCAGGTCATTTCCTCCGTATGCTCGTTGACTGGCTTCTTCCACCTGCATTATACGCCGTAGCAGCACTGAGTTAGGCAAAAAACCGCGAGGTAACTACTCGATGACGTGACATGAATTCATGAAATTGACCGAGACTTGCGGAGTTTCCGTGTTGCAGTTATACAGAAGAGTTTGGGTGTTGATTTCCGGTATTACTGCAACACTGAAATTCTCCACTTCAGTCGGATACGGTCCCCTTGATTTGAATGACTTCTGCTGACTTCTCAAAGTCAGCCGAGACTTTACCAGACATGGTGCAGTTACGCACTTAGTGACATTCCTGCATTCCATCTCTTGCATCTGGTCAATAATTGTATATCCCGAATTAATTTCTATGGCACTCTGTTTGCCTTCAACCTTATTTGCTTATTGTTATTTATTGTTATTCTGGCGACCTGAGTCGCAGCATCACTAGATCCGCCGCATTTTTGTGTCCGGGTCATAGTTGTTTGACTGATGTAAACTAAACTGGATACGTAGCTTTAAAATGATGTTAATGATGGTGATGTTTTCTGCTTACCAGGCCCATTTGTTACAACGTTGCATTTCCTCTGAGTCACGCCCTTTGGTTTTTCTAAACGCGGAAGTTTTCCCTCCTGCTCTCCCCGCCTCCAGCTCGTTCAGTATTTCATGTCTAACCTACACCGATCAATACATGATTTTTTACATGCGTTCTTTGTTGCTTTTTCAGGGCTCCAATACTTGGTTGCTCGTTCACAATGGAGTATTTCTCGGGGGCCCTGCGAATCCGCATTATTGAGGCATCGGATCTAAAACCTACCGCTTGCGCCACACGCCACTCAATTCGCCCTACTGCAAAGTTATGCGAACTTCTAGATCCATATGTTACAGTCGATGTGGATGATATCGCCATTGGCAAAAGCTCTACTAAATCCCGCACCAATACTCCCCAGTGGAAGGAAGATATATATGCCGAAGTCTCCTACACACAACAGCTCACTTTCACTGTCTACCACGATGCAGCTATACCTCCTGACGACTTTGTGGCCATTGTTGAATTAGCGATTCGCAATGTACGTTCCGGGGAAGATGTTTGGTTAGAATTGGAACCCCAGGGAAAACTACTAGTCCGTATCGACCTATCCGGCACCCGCACCGATGAGCCACCTCGTGACCGCATGGGCTTTCCTGGACGTGATGGTGCTATCGGGGGTGTGCATGGGAAGCATTATCGTTGTGGCGCGATGCGACGTCGTATCCATCAGGCCAAAGGCCATAAATTTCAGGTCACGAGTCTTCGACAGTTCACTTTTTGTTCGCTATGCAATAGTTTTATCTGGGGTTTATGGAATCAAGGCTACCAATGCCAAGTTTGCACTTGTGTGGTGCACAAACGCTGTTACGTGAATGTGATTACTCAGTGTCCTGGAGTGAAATCACCACCGACTGGACCAACAGCGGTTTTGCAGGTGAGCTCCGCATTTTTGTTACTTTTCTATATGTTCCGAAGTAGGTTGGCGTGAAACTGAGTTGTTAACATACTGGCTTCTTTCAGTCGTGCCTGTGTGTGCAACCTATTACCCCTAGGAGTACATGTGTATGCACTGCGCCACAGCGTTAACCCGCTTTTTCTGATGATTTCATCATCAAAGGCATTCCATTATAGCCAGCCGGGTTGCCTTGTCTTCTTTGGGATTAGGAGGGACAACAGGGGTGACAGGCCTGACCCATCTTTCATGCGGATTTTCGCTAATTGTTTAAATGCCTGGGCAACTGCGCGTTGAGAAGCCGCATGTGCTGAACATGTAAATGCATCGATTTCTGCGCACCAAGCAGTTGATTGAACGGCCGATGTCATATCGGCCGAAATCGATGTCAAAGTGACTTGGATGCTGCAAATGTCGGGTGTGTTCCGTGCTTGTTGAACCGACGACACAGCCCTGTTATCGGCTTTCCTCAGCCAATTTAATAAACCTCAAATCAGTTCGCTGGCACCTGTTTTGCCTACTTGCCACAGCGCTGATGATACGGCAGCTTTTGTGGCGCACATGGTGCAGTTGTACTCGTGAAAATGCATCGTCCCTTAATTGGCGTTTATTCCCGTCTGATAGCCTGAAGCGATACAGTGCGTCGATGACCACTCAGTTCCGACAATTCCTCTGTTTTCCATCGCGAAGAGACTGAACCTTAACGTAGTGCCATAGTTTACGTGCCTCGGCTATCTATTTGGCTTTGCTGGGCGGTGCTCTTGCATCTTCAGTGCCACTCGTACCAGATTGGTCAAGGGTTAGTGGCCAGACAATCTCAGCATCATGGCCTAAGGGTTTGGGGTTAGATTGAGGTTGGCTGCTTAAAACGGACTCTTTGTAGTCCATTTCAAAACTCGCTGCCTTGCAGTAAGATTTTCGAACCTAAGGCTTTAATTGAGGACCCAAATTGTTCTATCCAGGCCTTGGCAACCTGACAGCATCTTGCCAACTCAATACACCACAATGACTTGCCCCTCAAACAATCTTGATGCTCTGGCCGTCGCAGGGAACAATCAGCGGTGTCTTATCTGCTGTATCGAGCAGGAATGAGGATGCTACTGCCCAAATCTTCCTATCTTTTTACCTCCCCTCTTGCGCTTTTTCACTTCTCTATCGTCCCGGACTAACTCCACTTTCATCCGCCTGTTGCTAACCCCACAATTCTAGTCCTTCTATCTTGTTTTGCTAAGCGTTTGTCTTATAATTTCAACTCACATGCAAATGCTGCGCATCATTTCAGTCCAGTCAACAAGTCAATGTTTATCCAAACGGACAACGTCAGTTCATTCGTCTCCCTTTGGAGCTCTATCTAGGACTGGCATGCTTCAATGTGCGCACTTTGTTGCAGATTGGCCAACAGACAGCACTTGCCCGAACACTGTAAATCTTATCGATGAACATCTGTTGTTTATCGGAAACCCGTCTGCAAGATTTGAGTTCTGTGATTACCTTGTGATCTCCATCGCTACAGGGCTAGCCCAGCCCTGCCAAACTCAACGGAGTTTCATCGACGCCAGTACATTATCGGGCCCGAACAACATGGTCACAATGCAGAGGCCTAAACAAAGTTCAGAGCGGAACTCTGCCTACGGAAACTGCCGCGCAGCTCACGGTAGTGTAGTTCTCAGTGAGAACGCGGCCAATGTATCCCGTGCAGTTTCCACTGAACTTGCCCCATTGTCAGTATCTTAGCTCTCGGACTCTCCTCAAGTCAGTTGTCTATCTCCTGAGTCGAGTTCATACCAATGCCTTAGCCACCGAGCACACTCAGTAACTGTGATGGGCACAACGTCTCAACAGCCTCGAACCCACCCCATCTATGCCCAGAGATAGGACCACTACATGGCAACTCTTGTGCCAACCAACATACGCCTTCCCTTATAGTTTGTACCTTATAGTTTATAGTTTATACAACTACTCTTGTTTTAGTGGACTATAAATATGAAGGTGTAAAAAGCACAGTTGCCTTGGTTGAGTCAGTAAAACACTCCTACTAGTGGCCAGTCTTCTTTCTGCGGATATCGGTACAGTCGTGCGGCATTTATGCGTTCCATCTGCCTTATCAATTGCGAGTTCTCCACTGCCGACTAATTCCACTAGCCGTTCCAATACGAATCGTCTAGGCTACTCTGCGTGTGGGGACCAACGAGTGAAAGAGTTCGTCCGTTCCGACTAGGACAACCGGAACCCAACTAGAACACCCATCGTGTGACAGTGTCAATGTTTTCTCATTGGGGTTGTCCGGAGAGCACGCAGCTTCAAATGCCGGTCAAACCAGTGTAGGCATTGCTCAGAGCCTTTGCGCTGAAGCTGCCTTGATCGATTGGATCCCAGTCAACATTCGGATGTGCCCTGTCAGACAGGTTGGTTCATTCCACGCTTCGAAGTCGTACGGGTATAAATGTCGCCTGTTCGTCCTTGTGGTGTACGCGCCCACAAATTGTGTGGTGACTCGGTGAAACACGAATTCTATCATCAATTGAACGCGCTCATTCATTACATGGAAATTACAGATATTGTGGTGCTGGCTGGTGATTTGGATGCCCAAGTTGGAAAACCAACCACTAATAAGCTAGCTGCATTTGGGCGGCCAACACGTTGTAAGCTCCTGTAATGATAACGGCGAGCGGTTTCTACTCCTGTGTGCAGATACTCATCTCTTCCTCGCGAGCACTAACTTTCGACACAGCACCCGCAGAAGAGTGACTTGGCGCCATGGACGCAAATCGATCACATCGTGGTCAATTACCGTTGGAGAGGCTGTGTACAAAGTGTTGCTGCACTTGGATCAAGCTCTACTGTGTGCTGACCTGTGGGTGCGTTTCGGCGGAAGTCCGCAACGGTGCAGTGAGCGATAGATACTAGCCAACTGTCGAAACCTGATGTTCTGAGCGCGTATCAAAGTACGCTGGCAACCGAGCTGAGTGCTGATGAAGACCACTGATCGTATATCCGCCAGACGTTATTAGTAGCAGGCATGTCTTCCTGTGGCAAATCAAATTGCCAATCTGATCATTGGCTCTTTACACAGTCTATGGAATTTCTGGATGCTCGCTGACGAATTCCGGTCGGAAGCGAATACAAGGAAACTCGCAACGATCACAGGGCGTCCTAGCCTGACAAAATACTGCGAAGCCTAGTGATCTCATTTTGCGTTGGAGATGGAAACAGCCGCTACCGTCTGATAAGAGAAACGGGCAGTAGATGTATTTGTAAAACTATACTTGACAAGTGTGGACAACCTATCCACAACCTGTCAAAACACTTGGAGCGTTTGGCTGAGCACTTTGAAAGACAATTTTATTATTCGGAATTGTCAGGTTTCTCACCGGCCACTGATCGCCCTGCTCTGTGGGCTCTCTTTGGATCCGCCCTCTGACTCAGAAGTCGAATTTGAGATCGGACTGCTGAAGTTGAGTAAAGCCGCGGGACCAAATGATCTTCCTCCAGCCTCCTACAAATTTGGGGGCCTGCTCCTGTAGATGACTTACACGAGTTACTAGTGGAACCGTGGGGCAGGAAACTGTCCCGACAGACTGCGGCCACTCTGTTATAGTTCTAATTTTCAAAGGAGGCTAACGATCGGGACGCGAAGACTTTAGGAGGAATCAGTCTGATCTCCATTATCTCCAGATTGCTTGCTTCTCTCATCCTTCACAGACTGACTGGCACTTCTGAAAGCCAGATTCGTGAACAGCAAGTCGGGTTCCGTCAAGGTCAAGACTGCCTCGACCACATATTCACTTTGCGTCACTTGTTGGAGCGCCGTCACATACATTGGCGGCCCACCACTCTCGTGTTTTTCGATATCATTGGTGCCTTCGACTCGGTTATTAGATGTGCCCTTTGGTACTGTCTGCTAAGAAAGGTGTGCCCAAGAAATATGTAAGTATTATCCTAGCGTTGTACGCGCGTAGTTCGGGCGGATTGTAGACTTACGGCAGGTTGTCGCCGCCCTTCAATCTATTCACCGTTGTGACAGGGATGCCCACTGTCACCTATCCTCTTCAATTTCGCTATTGACGAACTCATGGAGATCACCTTCACAGCACACGACTTAGGTGTGGAGCTGCTCCCAGGCGAACGACTTCTTGATTTGTAATATGCTTACGATATTGTTCTAATCTGTGACAGCTACCAAGCGGCACTGGACAGATTAGCACTGTCTGTCCGCCGTTTTGGGCTATACTTTGCTCCATCAACATGCAAAGTGCTTCACCAAGATTGTTAGGGACCCAGCTCTGCGCCGACCCTTGGTGGTGATCAGCTAGAATTCGTTAAGGAATTCAAGTACTTGGGTAGCTATATTTGCGCCTGTGGGGTCGAAGATGAGATTAAGGACCGTGTAGCAAAATCTCGAAATGCTTTTGCCAATGTCCACCACCTATGGCACCGACGCGACATCACTCTCCCTGAAGCGTAGAGTATACAATGCAGGCGTTCTTTCAACTCTCCTTTACGGCTATGAAACCTGACCCCTTAGATCAGCAGACATAAAGGGGCTCGTTACGTTCAACCACCGGTGCCTTCGCAGTTTAGCTCGCATCTGATTGGAACTCCGCGTGAGCAACGAGCATGTTCGACGCCTTGTTTACGGTACAGAAAGAGGAAATGAACCGCTCAGCGCCGTTATTTCACGCACCCGGCTCCGATGGCTCGGCCACCTGTTGCGCATAACAGCATACCGACTTCTGCGATGTGCGCTGTTTACGCGCCGGAGGTGTGGATGGAAGATGAGGAGGGGTGGCCAATCGATGACCTGGTCGCGAACAATGAAGGCCTTTACTTCGACGTTAGCCTCGGTTGAAGCCTCTCTGCTCCCTGGTTGGGATGCGATAGAGGATGAACACGTTTGGCCGAATACACTTGCTGAAATGGCTAGGAGCCGACCTCAGTGGCGTTTGTGTTGTGAGTTTCTTTTTCCCTCCCCATCTCTTAAC